AGTCGAAGAAAATAATAATCTGCGAGTCCTTCAGTTCAAAATAAGCATAATCATAATTTATCTATCGCAAGAACCATCCACCCTTCTCTCTCAACTGCTACCTGTACGCCTATCAAACATATTGAATGCACTCTCCTAAGCTCCGATTACAGTGGCAGATCCAGGGAAGGGGCTGGGGGGTCGCACCCCTTATTTTTAGACCAAACTGAGGCCGGAAGGGCCAAAAAAATATTTTTTGGAGACCGACCCCTGCCCCCCCCCACTTATCTAAGGGTCTCGATTACCCCCCCCCCCCCCCATGTCCCTTATCTCTAGATCTGAATTCGGCACTGGATTACCCCTAGTACTTTCCTCTATTACTCAGTATGGAGGACGCATGTCGCTTAATTAATTTTGAACCTAGAGAATAGCCTCGTCCACCATATCTCCGCTACCGGTGTTTGGGATGCTATAGGGTCCAAAAAAGCCCCCCATCATGCCCAGAAATATGCCCAGTCGTGACATGCAAAATATGACGTAATATCACGGTTTTGGAAGCCATCTTGACGAGTAGGCAATCTCGACAGAAAATACAGTGAGTGTTTGTATGAGAGTCAAATGTCAACTTCGAAAAAAAGTGTTCTAACATGAATTTATTGTAAACAAAAGGAAATAAGAAAAAAGTAATTTTATTTATTAATAAATTGTAAACTAAAGCTTCATTGTACTAACAAATATTGGGTGCCGTATGTTCTGTCGTGAATTGTAATAATGTCGAGAATTGTAATACCTGTCGTAAATTGTAATAACAGTCGTCGAGAATTGTAATAACCAAGCTATCGTAAATTGTAATAACACGTTATCGTAAATTGTGATAAGCCGAGCTGTCGTGAATTGTAATAACACATTGTCGTGGTTTGTAATAAGTCTTGAAGATGAACAATAATTCACCAACAACTCAATTTTTGGATAACCAGGACTGTTCTTTTCGACGGGCGTCGATAAAACCCGGAACATGGAACATCCCGGAACATGAAAAAATTAATTTTTTTTTTTAATAAAAAAATAACTAATTAATTAAATAATAATAATATTAATATTAATAATAATAATAATAATAAATAATAAAAGGAACAATAGATAGAAAACAATTTTTGCAAAATTTATAATAACAAAATAAATAACATAACATAACATAACATAACATAAAAACGAACAAACAAACAAACAAAGAAAAGGAAACAGGTATCATCTCCGAGTATCAGAAAACAATATTTTGTCGCAATGAATTTTTTGCAGTGGGCGAGTGAGGGTCCATTCAAATGACAGTAATGAGTGAAGGCTTGTGTCTAAATTCAAAATATATTAAAATGGGTCGCGAGGAGAGGGTTTTCAAGTTTTCGTCACACAGCCACCTCTTGTAAACGTTTGCCATGCGGTTTAACGGTTATCCATTTACGGCTTTGCGACCGTAAGGAGAGCTTAGGGGCTCGTCGCTTTGGACTTGGATAATTAAATTAAAGATTCACATTCGCCGTGAATAGTTGCAGTGGCAGTGGTAGCGCAGCGGTAGTTTCTAACTGTTATCAGTTAGTCTGAATTTTAGCCGTCTCCCCGCAAACTCCTCTCGCGACTCGAGGAGACGTCTGAAATATCATGCTGACTGTAAACAGCATAGAAACTACCACGAATGTGAGTATTGTCCACTAAAATCCAAAGACAGGAGCCCCTATACTCTTCTTAAGTTCACAGAGCCGTCTAGTCTGTAAGTAATTCATGTTCAAGTAAAGCAAAGCACCTCAAGTAAGCAAATGTCGGTTATATAATAAGGAGACTATGCTACTTACCGACTTGGCTTGACATGAAATACTGCACCGACATTTCAGACCATTGCAGAACCGTAAATGGATAACCGCCAAATGATTAACTCATGGCAAACAATTACAAGAGGTGGTTGTGTGAGGAAAGCTTTAAAAAAACCCTCCTCGCAACCCATTTTAATATATTTTGAATTTAGAAGCAAGCTTTCACTCATTACTGTCATTTGCATGAAACCTCATTCGCCCAACAAATTTTAATTTGTTGCGACAAAATATTGTTTTCTCATACTCAGAGAGGATACCAGTTTCTTTTTCTTGATTTTTTCATTATTTTTCGTTTTTCTTTTGTTATTTTACGTTATTAATAATTTTTACAAAAATTATTTTATTATTATTATTTTGTTATATTTTTTTCTTCATGAAAATTCTTTTTATTTTTTCATGTTCCGGGATGTTCCGGAATGTTCCATGTTCCTGGTTTTATCGACGCCCTGTTTTCGACAAGAATCCTACAATGCAGCTCATCATAAGCTCGTTGCTCAATAGGCCACTTCCAAGTTCCAAAAACCGCAACTTTCAAAACGAGGCCAAGAGCAACCTTTTTGTGATAATGAGTTTCATCTTTATCAGAATAAAACCTCGTTTTCATATCACTTGCTTTGCACTTAGACTTGCTTAGAAACAGAGGCTAGCAACTCAACCGTGACAGGGTGGCAAGAGTTCCCGGCAAGAGTTTCTTTTTCCCATAAAACTTTTAACGCTATGCTAGCCGTTTCCTTCTTTTTGTTGACTTTTTGAGGTACGAGTTCAGTAATAAAGGTCACCAACTGGATGTATCTTTTCCCAATGAATAAATCAGCGTCGTTACCTTCCTGAACAATCCCAGTTAAACTCACTACAGCTACTGTAACAGCTATTATTGCGTCGCGCAAAATACATAAATGATACACAAGACGAACGGACACTTTTTTTAACACAAAAACTCTAACACGTCTTTGCACTTAATAGCTCTAACAGTTCAGTCCATCGAATTAATTCCAACCAAAGTCTAAGCAAAGTTTACGTTACAAAAGGTTACACTGTAATCCATCGCTTTTTCAAGTGTCTTTTTCTTTCTTTTACCCAAGGAATTTGGAGAGCACTGATCAACATATCACAGTGGCGCCTTATTCTTAGCTATATTATTCTCTAGTCTTGTATTAATTTAGTAACCGCGGGGACTGCGGAACACCATAGCATAGGGACTTTTTCGTGTTGAATACTGATAATTCATATGTTTCTTTATAAAATGATGTCATCAGTGACATAAGAAATGCGTTGAAGAAATACTTTATAGTGTACTCTTTCGCGCTAGTTGATTTCTTGTTTGTCGCGACTTTTCTCATCAAAATAAAAAAAATGGTATAAGTCAGACAAACGTTTCAAATCTCTCACTAACGTCAATTGTGCGTGTGCTATTTATTCGGTTTGAACTGTCTCTAACCCCCACCCCTACAATATTTCTAACTGGGGCCCCTATGATCAATATATGGTGGAAGCAACAGGCAGTTGCTCTCAGTAAGGTGTAGCCTGCGTAGCAAGCGTTTCCTCGCGAGGTTCGTTTAGAAAGCTGGGACAAGAGCAAAAAAAATGAATGACGGGGGAGGGGGAGTTTTTTTTGCTTCCGCTCTAACTTTCGCGCAATAACTCGATTGGAAACGCTTGCTACGCAGGCTAAGTAAGGTGGTTCGTTGACTGTTTCGAATACGTTTCTCAGGTGGTCGGTAACTGATTTTGTTGTTGCCATAATGCTGGCTACATAATAGCTTAAATGTTTTTGATTGACAAGAAAATTTCAGTAGATAAGCCCTTGACGTCAAGAACTATCACAAAATACGACAATGTGTCATTACAATTCACGACAGCTAGGTTTATTACAAATTACGACAACGTGTTATTACAAATTACGATAGCTTGGTTATTGCAATTCTCCGTGACAACTGTTATTACAATTTACGACAATTGTTATAATTACAATTTACGACAGGTATTACAATTCATGGCATTATTACAATTCACGACAAAACAGCCGTACCTGTGCTTAAATTTCTCGAGTCGCTTGCTTATGATTTGTCATTTACTTGACGTACTTGTCTACACGAATATTCCTTATATATTGTTTAAAAAGTGGTGCAAGTAGTAGAATCTTTATGTGTATTGTTTTGGTAGTCAATCTACTAAATAGAATATAACCGTTTTACAAAAAACATTCCACAGAAGACTCTCACAAAAACATTATAATTTCTCCTGGTTGGTTGCCTACCTGTCAAGATGGCTTCCAAAACTGTGAAAAGGTCCATCGGTGCAAAAACATACATCAACAATCAATTTATGTCACGTCGTAAAATTTCTTGGCATTTGCCATTTTACTCAGCTGCTATTTAACAATTATTCCTCGAGGTTCTGAAGATCCTTCCCTTACTTATTTGAATAGCTTGACGGGTTTTCGGCAGGTGGTGATCACAGGATAAGAGATCCATTCCTTAGAAGAACAAAAACAAACGCGTATCGGAGAAAGGAGCACGAATTATGTTTCCTTGGAATCTTCAAAGCATCGAATCGTTAAGCGACGACCTCTTCTTCTATTAACAGTTGAAGGTGTGATCGAACAGGAAATAGATGAGAGCGGCGAGTAACTTTGATACAGCCCAACATCAGACAGCCAGAGTCATTAACTAGCACTAATTTCTGAATCAAGTGACGATATTCTTTAAAAACATCACAGCTTCAAGAACTTGATAAAAAATTTGGTGACTGTGTGAGCTTTTACACAAGCCACGGATACGCAAGAGTTCTTTTTCCCAACGAAAACTCGCATTGAACAAGAATAACAACCAAGACATCAGCCACTCTGTGAAAGTATAAACTGCCGTGACTTAAAATTTTCTTGAAGCTTCAGTGAAACCAGAAATGTTTTTAACGGACGCCCTAGAACTGACCATTGTGGTTCTTATTGCGTTAATTGGAGTTGTTGGTAACATTTTGGTAGTCATTGTGATACATCATCTGGGAAAGAAAAAAAGACCAGGGGACTGCTATTTGCAAAGTTTAGCCATAGCAGACATTGGTACGCTGCTAATAACCTCTCCACTTGTCATTATCAGAATGGAAATGCCGGGGAACTGGCCATTTGGCGAGTTTGCTTGCCTCTACGTTTTTCCTGTTGCGGAAATTTTCTACGGTGCATCTATATGGTCGATTGTAGTTATCGCAGCTAATCACTATCACCAAATGTTTTCTTTGAAAATATTTGGTCGAACCAGACCGTCGATAAAGAGAGCTAAAACCATTGCCGCTCTTGTTTGGGTGTTGTCTTTTATAATACTATGTTTTCCCCTTTACTTCGATGTTGATTATCATGAACTCTTGAATGGAGGTCAGTTTTGCGGTCCGGTCAAGTGGACACATTTCTCAGAGACAGCATATATAATTTGTCTGACTCTGCTGACCTATGTCATACCTCTTGTTGTCATATCGTTTACCTACGTCGCGATATCTCGCGTGTTGAGACAGAACATTGACTTGATCAAAGCTATGAAACAAGTACTACCTCATGTGGCTACGTCACCCAGAAACCAGCGTGATCACCTGACTCATGTAAAGAGCATTCGCCTAAAACAAAACATCCGAGCGAGGAAAATTCTCAGTCCTCTTGTGGTGACATTTGCGGTGACCATGCTTCCTTTAAACGTCTTTCGTCTGACCATGGTGTTTTGGCCAGGATTCTCTGGGCAAGAATACTTTAAACATTTGCTTTACGGGTTGGTGATTTCTACGACAATCAACTCAGCGGCAAATCCTGTAATTTATTCTGTAGTTAGCAGAGACTTTCGCAAGGGAATATTAAATAATTTGCGTTGCATTAATTGGGTATAGATTTTTCCGTCAACGGCCAACTTTATCTTCGACAGTTTGACATGTTCGTAGTGCATTTTTCCTGGAGTGGATTAAAGTTAAAGTAATTAAAAAAGCCAACGCGTTTTCAGGCGAAAAACATGTCTTCATCGCAAACACTGTTAATGTTTGAATACTGTACTAACTTCGTGCGTAAAGCAACTGACTTTAGCAGTTAATAACATTCGTTCTTGAGTTTGCAGCTACGCTATCAGTAATGTTGTCTTGTTGACAGAAGTAATTTTCTTCCAGACTGATTACTCAGCGAGATAGACAAGTTTGCCAAGTTTTTCTTTTCTTGTTTTATGACTATAAAAATATATTTAAACGTGACATCGTGCGAGCCTGGGATCTGGCTCCGTTTTGGAGAAAAAGGGTGGATAACACGGCGAGCGCGAAGAAACAGTCGAACCAAGGGAGCAATATGAGTAGTCTACTATGTTGAAACTTAACCCCGTTGGTGCCTTCCCTTGCCTTCCGTATGCCTTCCCTTAATTGATATGCATAAGCCTATGACGTCACCTCGGAAAGAAGTGTCTTCCTGCATACTAATTTGGATTAGGTTTACTAATGAGCGTCACTCTACTACAATAGGAACAATAGGCTTGCCTAGACTTGCCCGTGAAGTAACTTGAGCTCGGTTTTCGGACAGTCTATTAAAAAGAAAATAGGAATAAGAGAAGCGATCACCTAGCAACGCGAGAAACGGCTTCCTATATCTTATTTAGCGCTAAAACTCAGATATATAAACAAAACACATGTGCACAAAGTGGAGTTGAAAAGTCTTTATTTCCGTTTAGTTTATGTCTTCTTATTGAGCTCTAAAACTCGGATATATATAAACAAAATACACAAAGTAGAACTGAAAACTCTATTTCAATTTTGTCTGACGTTTTCTCCGTTCTATCTCGAGGAAATGAAAAACTATTAAAGTCTTGTAATTTCACGCACTGTTAGTCAGTTAATTATGCGAGTTGACAAGTCCAAAGTTGAATACAAATTTTCTCTACAGGAAAGACCCAAGGGAGCACCTTGACGTATTATTATAAAACAAATAACTTAACAAGGATCAATTAAAACACGCGACTACTAATTGCTAGCAATAAAATCTGACACGAGATACCGTTTAAAACAAAAAGAGTCAAATACACAGCGATTTGAAAGAAATCTATTAAAACAGTCAAAGAAAGCAAATCATGTTTTACTTACCCCTCTCCCTTTTCAATTTTATTTCCCTCCTCAATTTTTTCTTTTTCCCTTCTCCACAATTTTATTATTTTCCCTCCTCAATGTTTTTATTCCCTCCTCCACAATTTTTATTATTTTCCCTCCTCAATGTTTTTATTCCTCTCCTTCACCTCCACCTCCTCATTTATTCTATATATTTTTCCATCCACAAATACATCGACCTCCTAGCGACTCTACATCGACCCCACATCGACCCTACTCGACCCCACATCGACCCTACATCGACCCTACATTGACCCCACATCCACCCCACATCGACCCTACACTCAACTTTTTTTTAACACTGCTTCGTAAATAGTGAAGCTATATACCACCACCGCCACATTTCTATTGTTTTCCCACCACCACCACCACCGCCACCACATTTCAATTGTTTTCCCTCCTCCTCCTCATTTTTATTGTTTTCCCTCCTCCACCACCACCACCACCACCACCACCACATTTCTATTGTTTTCCCTCCACCACCACCACCACCACCACCACATTTCTATTGTTTTCCCTCCACCACCACCACCGCCACCACATTTCTATTGTTTTCCCTCCACCACCACCACATTTCTATTGTTTTCCCTCCTCCTCCACCACCACCACATTTCCATTGTTTTCCCTCCACCACCACCACCACATTTCTATTGTTTTCCCTCCTCCTCCTCATTTTTATTGTTTTCCCTCCTCCTCCTCCTGATTTTTATTGTTTTCCCTCCTCCTCCTCCTCCTCCTCCTCCTCCTGTACCCCTCCTGTACCCCTACTGTACCCCTCCTGTACCCCTACTGTACCCTTCCTGTACCCCTCCTGTACCCTTCCTGTACCCCTCCTGTACCCCTCCTGTACCCCTCCTGTACCCCTCCTGTACCCCTCCTGTACCCCTCCTGTACCCTTCCTGTACCCCTACTGTACCAAAACAAAAATGAGGAGGAGGAGGGAAAACAACAAAAATCAGGAGGAGGAGGAGGGAAAACAATAAAAATGAGGAGGAGGAGGGAAAACAATAGAAATGTGGTGGTGGAGGTGGTGGTGGTGGAGGAGGAGGGAAAACAATAGAAATGTGGTGGTGGTGGTGGTGGTGGTGGTGGAGGGAAAACAATGGAAATGTGGTGGTGGTGGTGGTGGAGGGAAAACAATAGAAATGTGGTGGTGGTGGTGGTGGTAATGGTACTCATATCAACATGCACCTATATACCTTATTATATACCTTCCCCAGGCTGACATAAAATAAAAGTGATTCCGAAAGCCATTCCGAGTAGAAAATAGATAAAGAGATTTAGGGTGACGCAAACGGCAAAGGTCAGATTCAAGTTGAAAATTTCTCAAAATAGAAAACGTGCAGCTTAGGCCCCGTCCACACGTATCCGGAGATTTTTGTACCCGCAAATTTTTTTATGCGGATACACCTAACGTCCACACGTGTCCGCCGTATACGCGCGGTGTATCCGGAGATTTCTGTATACGCTCTCCAGAGTGGAAATTTCTGTATACGCTGTGTATCCGGATACGTGTGGACGCTCGTATCCGTGTATTTTTGCATACGCTGACGTCACAGTATCAGAACCAGTCTCAAAATTATCGCAGGCTCAGCTTTCTTTGTAATGCGCATGCTCTGCTGACTAATCCTTTGAGATGTCCGGATACGAATCGGATACGTGTGGACGGTCGTATACGATTCGTATACGCTACTTGTGGACGCAGATATTCTTGTATCCGCATAAAAAAATTTGCGGATACAAAAATCTCCGGATACGTGTGGACGGGGCCTCAGAAAGCCATTCCGAGAAGAAAATAGTTAAAGAGATTTAGAGTGACGCAAACAGCAAAGGTCAGATTCAAGTTGAAAATTTCTCAAATAGAAAACGTGCAGCTTAGAAAGCCGTTCCGAGTAGAAAATAGATAAAGAGATTTAGAGTGACGCAAACGGCAAACGGCAGATTCAAGTTGAAAATTTCTCAAATTAGAAAACGTGCAGCTTAGAATAGTCCAAATGAATTGTTATGCACAAATCTAAAGTGAAACTTCTAATTTTGGGGTTAGAAGTAATGAACATTAAAGCGCAAGTTAAGAGCTTGCTTGCTTGCTTGCTCACGTGGCACAGGTTCACGTTTGCCGTAAACTTCACTCTAAATCCGTCTGTTTAGAATAACATTTTAAGGTTCACTGCGAAAGGCAAACTTCAGATTCAGGTCGACAATTTCTCGTACAAGGAAACTATAAAAACTGTTCATAATAATTCTTATGGATGAAAATGGCGTGAAACTAATTTTTGGGTGGATATAATGAAAAGTTGACGACAAGTAAAGGAAAACGTTGGTCACGTCCATTTACTTGGCATGTTTTCTTGATTGAATTAAGGAGGATGACATGTTAATTGATGATAATAATTTTCCCTAGCAGTGTCGCCAAAAAAGATAGCTAGTACTGGACGGCCTTGATCTACCATTCAAACATATCAAGTAAATATCGAAAATACGCGAAACCTGTGATGATTTTCTTCTTTCAGTCTCTTTGATTATAAGCGAATGCTGTGAGGATGGCTGTTTTATATGAGCCCATTCGGGTATCTTTTTACCCTGCACGAGCAGAGGTTTCTTTCTGGCATGGCTTTTAGCATTTGCGAAGTCATTCGGGTGGCGACTAACTGCACGCTACTGACACGCCAGGCAAAAGACTTCGCAAATGCTGAAAGCCATACCAGAAAAAAAACCTCTGCTCGCAGGGTAGTATCTTTTGCAGCTGATACTGACGGTAAAACATAAATCAAAAAACCATTCAACGAATAACAAGTTCAGGATATCATAAGCTCTGTTCCAGAAGGCTCAGAAATAAACTATTCCGCACTTCAGTGATATCGTAAAAAAACCCTATAAGGAGAGCCCAGTATGGTGAATGGAAAATCATAGTCAAAACGTCTGGGGTTCACTTTCCAGTGAACGAAGATTTTTTTAAAAAAATCCGCCAATACTTTTAATAAGCACCTGTCTTAAGTACAATTTCTCCGAGACACCTGAAAAACACGAGATGAACTGAATGGAGGTTTTTTCTTTCTTCCTTCCTTTGTTTTGTTTTGGTTTTTTTTTGTGCACATATGTTACTGGTTTACCATTACAAATCTTGCGCACACTGGGGAAGTCATCAAGCTGAAAACTGAAATCAGTGATTAGGACTTTTTAATAATACATTGTATTCAGACAAAAACTCTGACTGCTTTTAATTTCTCTATCAGTTTAAATTTTACAATTTAATGCCTCGGCTACCTAACGTCAGCGCAGGAAAAAAAGTAGATTTATCTAAAGGTTAGTAACGACCAAAACAGAGAAAGTCTATTGGTAATGTTCTGTGCACAAATTTCATGAAATTTCTAAGGTTATAATTATGATCTTGGTTGAAACACAATGTTCGCAGCTGAAAAAAGCAGCCTCGCGTTTCTATTAATTTCAATATACGACTTGATTGTTAGCGGATGCGATATTATGGGGAAAGGACTAAAATTAGCCTTGAAGGAAGTTTGCCAATTGGAAGGCAAGTAAAGAACGCATAGGCAACTTCCTTATTTGCGCTGCTATCTAATCTAAAAAACATGGAATGCAAACTTTATTACGCTCACAAAGGAAGCCCTTGCGATGCCGGGTTTAAAGTTCAGCAAATTACGACTTAAAGATGGTACATTCAAATTAAATATTTTTTAGGTCTGTTTTTTGAATCTCGAGATGAATTTTAAGAGTCTGACGAATTAAATTTAGACTGCGAGCGGTCTCTTAATTTTCTTTGCAAAGTTAATACACGCGAAAAGTAAGAACGCAAGGGATTGAGACCAGACGACGTCTTTTCTCTATCTGGTCCCAATCCCTTATTGCCAACGAGCCATCCGAGCGAAGACGCTCGGATGGCGAGGCGGCAGCAGAATAGAGCCGCGCAAGACTGGGCAATAGGCAGAAAAATTCTCGATCGAGCTGAAAAAAGTGTAACCTAATGTAATGTAGATTCCCCTGAGACCAATTGGTCGGTTGTGAACCAATCAAAAAGCAGTACCTGGCGCACGGGCTCAAGTTGAATAACAAACAAAATTTCACACACTTCCCGCCGTCGCGACTTCCTGTGTTTATTTGCCTAAATTTTTTCGTTAAACCCGGCCACCGCAGTCAAGAGACATGAGCACTTGATATATTCTATTAATTCTAGGGGCCATGATGTTAAATTTTAACGAAGAGAAGTTTGTAAAACAGCAAAAGTGTTCTATGTGCTGCGAGCAATATTCTCACCACTAAAAAGGATCAGATTACACGAGGAGATAAGGAAACCTTGACACGAAGAATGCAGTCGCTTCTGTTGGAAAATCTGGTATTGGGGAAAAAATCTAACCAGCAAACAAAAACAATGAGAACAAAAACGAATTACAAGCCTAAAGCGAACGACAAAGGAAAAGAAAACAACGCCATTTTTTTCGAAACGTTGCCGAGTTCAGTATAAAAATAATGAACTAAAATTAAATACCGACGTGCCGTACATCGCATGTCCTTGGAAACATTTCAGATGGCCCAGCGAATCGTTTTAAGTTTCAATCCGATAACAAAAAGACTCGGGAAATTTGAAAGGAGGTTTAAATGATTAAACTGCAAATATTTATCAACAATGTGAAACCGAACCGACAGTAGATTTGTAGCTTGACTTAATAATATTCCCGATCGCTTCCTCTGCAAAGCTGACTTTATTCTTTCAAGGCACTTCACAATTTTACATAGCAGTTTTGTAAAGCCACCATACTGAATCTGAGAACTTTTCATGAAAATAATCCTTGCAACAGGAAGGGACCAAGAAACGGTCAAATGGGAAAAAAAAGGAATTTTATTCCTAAGCAAAATACGCATGATTTGCTCGTTGGCACTCTATCGATAGGTATACCTAGTTGTAACATAACAGATCCCTGCGGTCGAAAGTTCAAATCTCGTTTTTAAGCTTTTCAGGCTTTATTTTCGGAACTGTTTAAATTGCGTACATAACAAATTGATTTTTCACGAATTTAATCTTTATCCCGCAGTTTCAAAAATTTGAAATCTTATATATTCTTTTATAATATTTCCATTTGCAAAAAATGGCACGCTGTCAAGTTATCTTTTACACTCGCTATTGCGGCAAACACCTGCTATTTCTAAATATTCTTGATAATAAAGTTTGCTTAGCTTGACGGTTTCCTGTAGACGTGATTCAATTTACAAACTTGAATGACAGTGTAATACTTTCAAAGTCACGAACTACAACCTTAGTGCCTGCAATACATCGGCTTAAAACTCTTGTGATCACGGCAGTTGACGATGTGATTAAACAGCACATAGCATCCTTTGTTATCAGTGCCAAAGGAAGAAAGCCAGCTACATAGTCCTCTTGATAAACTTTAGTTTTCGGACCGTCCCAGTTTCAGCACTGAAATCCGGCAAGTACTCGGTAAAAATATATTGATCGACAAGCAAGAGATGGCTCTCTCTGAAAAAAACTGCTCATGGAATTCCACTTAGCGCAACTGTAGAATCTGAGATGACATTAACAAAAGTCTTAAGACTGACCCTTGAGGCTCTTATTAGCTTGTTCGGAGTCGTTGGCAACATTTTGGTAGTGATTGTGATAAGTCATCTTGGAAAGAGAAAAAGACCAGGGGACTACTATTTGCAAAATTTAGCCATAGCAGACCTTGGTACACTAATAATGACTTCTCCTCTCCTCATTATTAGATTGGAAATGCCTTTGAACTGGCCATTTGGCGAGATTGCCTGTCTCTACTTTTACCCTGTTGCGGAGATTTTCTACGGTTCATCTGTGTGGTGCATAGCGGTTATCGCAATTGAACGCTATCGGAAAATGTCTTCAATTGAAATTTATGGTCGAAACATAACGCCGATACAGATAGCAAAACGTATTGCCGCTGTTGTGTGGGTGATATCATTTTTAACATTATGCTTTCCACTCTACTTCGTGGTTGATTATCAAGCCCTTTCGAATAGGGGTCAGTTTTGCGGTCCGATAAGATGGACACATTTCTTAGAGACAGTATATATAATCTGCCTTATTCTGCTGACCTATGTCATACCTCTCGCTATTATATCATTTAGCTACATCGAGATATCTCGTGTGCTGAGGCAGAGCATTAATATGACCAGACCGATGAAACAGGCACACCACTTGGCTAAGTCACAGAGCGACAAACGCGATTATCTGGTCAATCTAAGCGGCGTTCGCCTGAGACAAAACATTCGAGCGAAGAAAATTCTGAGTCCACTTGTTGTGATATTCGCGATGACAATGCTTCCTTTAAACGTCTTTCGTCTGACGATGGTTTTTTGGCCAGAATTCTCCGAGCAAATATACTTTGCACATTTACTACATGCGGTGGTAGTTTCCACGATAATTAACTCGGCGGCAAATCCTGTGATCTATTCTGTAGTTAGCAGAAACTTTGGAAAGAGGATGCTAAATCATTTACTTTGCAGAAACTGTTCATTTGCCTAGAATGACAACTTACACTGCCTAATTTGCGAGTTTAAATCTACCTGAGGTTATGAAAACCGGGTTAGCAAACATTTTGTAATTTCTTTCAACTTCCCCTGTCTAATAGTTAAATGTTTACTGAGTTGTTTGCTCATCGTTCAATATCGTATTGTATTCTCGTTTCATTTGGCCACACGGATCAATCACCCTGATCCAAGACTTGAAGACTTTATTATATACTTTCTAAGGAAAATTTTTACAAGTGTCGTGGCACCACAAATAGCTGTAGCTAGTCTAGGCCGGCCAGGAATGATACGGAAATAAAATAACTGCAATTAAATTAAGGTTAAAAAAATAGAAAAAACAAGTAGAAAGCAAGAGAGATTCATCAGTTTTCAAATAAATATATATGGAGCGGTTAACTAATTGCAAAAAATTATAATCTTGCGAAGAAAAACATATGAAAAATATGCATTTAAAACTCTAAGGAGGAAAGGAAAACAAAACATTAGCTCGCTGTTTTTATAGGCAGGATTACAAAAAAACTGGTTCTGCTTTCAGCTTCATTTTAAGAATAATTTCGCCAGTCTCCAGTATATCAAGCAATGATGCACGAATATTAAATTTGTATTTGTGTTTTGAAAGTGGGCGCAACTTGGTCGGTATCTCATTCCATAATTTGGCACCAAGTCTCGAGAAAGAGTTTTTGTGGATTTCAAGTTTCAATTTTTTTATATAAAACTTTTGAGACGTAGACGACCTAGTGCCGTATGAATGTACACGAGAAAGTGGAAGGAACAATTCCTGAATGTTTGTAGGTACTAAGTTGTTGCTCACGTCAGACATTGTTTCTGCTAGTAGCTGATAATAGAGAAAGTTAATTGGTAAATAAATATTTTTGTATTGATAAAGAGAGGAATGGCATAATCACGCGGTTTAGCAAAGTGAATAAAGCGAAGAGCGCGTTTCTGAAGGACTACTGTAGAAGTTTGTTTAGTTGTGATTTGCTTGCTTGACCCCATACAATTAGAGCGTATCGAAGATAGGGTGATATCAGAGAGAGATAAATGGAAATAAGTGTGCTAAAGGGAACAATGCAAAATGTCGCAGTTTCGATAATAGCCCAACAGTTCTACTGATTTTTAAAAGAATTGTGTCAATGTGGTTATTCCAAGAAAGTTTGTAGTCTATCAGAACCCCTAATACAACAACAACAACATAAGCTTTATTTGCATGACTATAATTATGTAGTTACAGTATTGCAAAAGCTTTAATATAAAAACAAACAAACAAACAAATCATAACAATGATAATGCAATGATCACTGTAGTCAATCAAGTGTCATCAGCATGACTTGATAACAAATTATTACGTAAATCATTACATAATGAGACAAATTTCAACAAATGTGAATTTACGGAAAAATTCTGTGAATTCATCAATTTAATTATTAATTCTGTGTAAGATAGCTGATCAAAATCGACAAAATTTTGTTGGATTTGATCGTAGAATTTCTCCCTTGGGATTGAGTATTTTGGACAATGGAAGAGAAAATGAAATTCGTCTTCAATTATACCAGAGTTACAAATAGGACAGAGTCTATCGTTGCGGGAAGTTTGATTATATCTTCCAGTTTCAATCATGAGTTTGTGGTTACTTATACGAATTTTCACTAAATCTTTCCTATTCGCAGAATTTCTAATTAAGTCTAGATAACTTGAAATTTTATAATCATGTTTAAATAAGCTGTAAAATTGTAGTTTCTTAGAATGATGGATTGTATGTTGCCAATATGCAATATATTTTTGTTTTATTATATCTATATAGTGTTTGATCTTAGCTTCACTTAAATTATTAGGATCAAAATCAGGGAGGTCATAATATTCAGATATTTTCATAAGATTATTGTAAAAGCTATTTTTACCATTACAGTGAAGTTCTAGCGAAGTACGAAAGGCTTGTTTAACTATAGTATCCTCGTTTTTACGCTGAAGATACAATATGTAATAAAGGATGTTTTTATAAATATTAATAATTAATGGGAACCGTCCCAATTCACTTCTACTTGCAACATTTGAAGCTTTATTGCTTATTTCTAGGTAACGCTTGCAAAATTTCAAGTGGGTTTTTTTCAATTGGGGTATTGTCCCAAGCTTTAAAATCATGTTTTACATATACACCCCAAATTTCGCTATTATATGATAATATCGGGGAAATCATCGTTTCAAATATTTTGCAAGCAAGAGAAGGTTTTAATTTGCTAAAGTTTGTGTGTTTTCTTAAACTAAAAAGAGCATGAAGAGCCTTCTCCTTCAGGTGTTCGAGGGAGATGTTAAAATTACCGGTTGAGGAGATACGGGTTCCTAAATATGTATATTCATGGACAGTATCAATGGTTTCTTTACCTATATGGAATTCTAGATTGGAGTTTTTCTTCGCTCGTTTTTTTTGAAAGACCATAACTTTGGTCTTTTTGGAATTTATATCTAACATCCAAGAGTTGCAAAAGAGGATAATGTGTTGAGACAGTTCTGCAATCCGATTTTAGATCGTGATATAATAATTAAATCATCAGCATATAAAAGCGAATTTAATTTGGTACCATTTGGAAGGATGATAGGGTCTGATAAAGTATTTTGAAATGCGGACGGTAAGTTATTAACGTATAAATTGAAAAGTAAGGGGCTTAAAATACAGCCCTGGCGTACGCCCCGTGAGAAGCTAAAAGATTTTGTTTGACTCGTACCTATTTTCAATGCACACGAAGAGTTTGAATATAGGTTTTGGATTAACTTATAGAAACATCCCCACACACCAATTTGTAATAATTTATATAAAAGTCCGTCATGCCAGACTGAGTCAAAGGCTTTTCTAAAGTCAACAAAACAAGCGTATACTTTCTCACCGTGACAGTGTACGTACTTGTCTATAAGAGTTCGTAATGTTAGGAGGTGGTCTGATGTTCGATTTTTAGGTAAGAAGCCGATTTGAGACTTATGGAGTATGTTCAGCGAAGTGACGTGTTCAAGAAGTCTTTGGTTTAAAATTGAAAAGAACAACTTTCCTAGACAACTAGAAACACAAATCCGCGGTAATTTGATGGGTCATTTCTTATGCCAGATTTAAATATGGGAGTTATAAGACCGTTGCACCAATTTTTAGGCACTGTTCCTAAGTTAAGAACAGTATTAAAAAGTTTATGGTAAACAGGTAGCAGTGTTGGTAAGCTAGCTTTAATCATTTCGTTTCTTATTTTGTCGGAGTATGCAGATTTGTTATTCTTTAATTTTCTTGCTGCCTTGCTTATTTCAGCTTCTGTTATGAAGTAATCTAGAGGTCGTGATTGCATTAAGACGTCTTCTCGTGTTCTTAACTCATTGACAACTTTCTGTTGCTCAGAAGTAAGTGGCTTATTAGAATGTAGACACTGGAAATAATTCATCCAATTCTCTTCTGCAATTGGTGGAGTGTCTTTGTATTTTATAGTGTCATCCACTGATTTTAAGCAATTCCAAAATTTTTTAGTATCCAAATTGTACGTTGTATCCTCTAATTCTGAGAGTTTATTGTTGTAATATTCATTTCTTTTTATGTGCGAGTAGTTTCTTATACTGCTGTAAAACAATATGATATTTTTCACGTAGAGTGGTATTTAAGGGATCTCTGTGTTTTCATTTGACAATTTCCTTAATTCGTGTCTTTTTAAGCGACATTCCTTATCAAACCATTTTTATTTGAGCGTGAATAGGTGCGTTTACGTCGTCTCGTCGTTCTTATCTTAAGGCATCGTTTTGCCGTTGTGATAAGAATATTTTCTACCTGTTCCGCGGAGGTGTTAACATTTTTAGCTGAATTGATGTCATTTAAATATTCGTGAATTATCATTTGCAAATTTGGAGATTGAAGAGCTGCTTTGAATTTTGGTGTAGAGTCACTTTCCCACGTAAATTGTTTTGGTAATCGTGTTAAAGTATCACTCTCTGGTGAAGGATCTTGATTACGAATATCGGTGTCAGTGCATAACCAGGTCACCAGTGGACTATGATCCGATAAATACGTGGGCTCTTTAACAATAAAGTTTAGTATGTGTGAAAATAACGTTTGATCACATATGGCATAATCAACGACACTTATTCCAGCCTTTCCATGAAATGTGGCTCTTCCTAAGGAGTCTCCACTAACTCTACCGTTAAGTATTCTAAGATCTGCGCTTCTGCAGATTTCAAGAAGGCGTTTGCCGTGATTGTTAATGTTGTTGTCAAAACTATTTCTATGAGTGGAGCCTGAAGAAAGATGGGACTGATCATTGGTAATAATGGTGTTTCCTTCTTGGCTTACACAATCCGAATATTTTCCTGTTCTAGAATTAAAGTCACCCATGAGAAGAATCGATCCTTGAGAGTAAAAAGTTTCAATGTCGTTTTCAAGATCTTCAAACATTTCAGGGAGAAAGTATTTTGAGCCGTTAGGCGGAATATAGACGCCACAAACATAAATATCTTTTGAGGTTTTTACGTATTGTTTGCTAATTTTGAACCACAGAAAGTTCGAAGTTATTTTTTCTATTGAAACCCAATTATGGAGTTCATTTTTGTAGAGTAAAGCAACTCCTCCTGAGTTGCGACCATTGTTTCCTAATTTTGTGTTTATTTGTTTATTGTTCCGGGCTGAGACAGAAAGATGCCATATTGTTCGCTTTCAGTAAGGTGACCACTAAGTCTTTGGCCCCGGGAACAGGCTCTTAGGAGTCAAATAAGTTAAACGAGAGGAAAATTGCCAAAGACATACTTAGCTGAGGACCTGTAGACACTCACTGAAGCAATGTTTACATAAATTTAGTCAGATATAAATTACAATCTTCTGTATATTTTTAAATCAGTTATGCATAAAGAGCAAAGTTTTCAAAGAAACTATGGTGGAATGTCGTTGGGGGAGTGAAACACATGTTAGATTACATTTAA